CGTGGCCACTCCCGGCCACCGCAGCCTCGACCTGCTGGGCTCTGGCGATCCCTCCGCCTCAGCCTTCCGAGTAGCCAGAATTACAGGCATGTGCTACCACGCCTGGCTGATTGTTTGATTTATTGTAGAGATGAGGTCTCGCCAAGTTGCCCAGGCAAGTCTCGAACCCGCGGGCTCAGGCAGTTCACTCACCTCAGCCTCCCAAAGGTGCGGGATTACAGGCTGAGCCACCAAGCCCGGCTGAGATGTTTCCTTAAAGGAAGCCATGTGAGGTTAGTCACACCTAGGGCCATAGAAGAATATGTCCTTCCCTTCCTATGAGCGCTTTAGTATCTTGAGAACTATGTTCCTGACAGACAAGAAGCTAACTGGACAATGAACATTAAGTTCAATAGGTGGATGGGACTGGGTTATCCTGGATAACTGAATGAACAACTCATGAATAATTCTTTATCAATTCTCTTATCCCTTTCTACATCATTCCAAAGCAAAGCTCCACTTTCTGGTCACATTTCCCCAAGGAGTTGCTGACACCTCATCAGCAATCAACGTAAGTGATCTAGGATCAAAAACTACAATTGGCCTGTTTTATTCAGTATAGAGCATGGTTTGAGACCAGAGTGACAAATTCACATGCTGTTAAGGACCAACACATATTTCCCTCTTGCTCAAATTCCAGTTTGTGTGCAGAATTTGCTTGAGATCCAAAAATACCTTAGGAAATCCCTATGGAAAAAAAGAGATTCCAAGAGAGAACTAAAGAGCTAAATCTTTTTTTTCCTGAAGGATTGATTCACCAGATTATACTTATTTTATTTTCAAGAAAACAGGATTTATTGAGAGGACAGAAAATCTCCCAGAGCAGGAGGGGACCCAAGGGGGTTGCCCCCCCCCCCCTTTTTAAGAGACAGGGTCTCACTGTCACCCAGGCTAGATGCAGTGGTGAGATCATAGCTCATTGCAGACTCAAACTCCTGGGCCCAAACGATCGTGCCTCAGCCTCCCAAAGCGCTGAGATTATAGGCATAAACCACCCTGCCTATAGACCTATGAGTTTCTCAGGTCAGATTGATTTGGGAGAAATGACAGTATAATAATTTAAAACTTATTGCCCAAAATGTCATTAGTTTTTAGCTATTCTATGAAATGTTTTTTTGTTTGTTTGTTTGTTTGTTTGTTTTTGAGTTGGAGTCTCACTCTGTCACCCAGGCTGGAGTGCAGTGGCTGCTCCTGGTCCACAGCAGCCTCGACCTGCTTGGCTCCGGCGATCCTTCCGCCTCAGCCTTCCAAGTAGCTGGAACTACAGGCGCGCGCTACCACGCCTGGCAAATTTTTTGATTTATTGTAGAGATGAGGTCTCGCCAAGTTGCCCAGGCGGGTCTCAAACCCACGGGCTCAGGCAATCCACTCACCTCAGCATCCCAAAGCGCGGGATTACAGGCTGAGCCACCCGAGCCCGGCTCCATGAAATGTTTTTATCTTCCAAGTTTGACACTACAAGATTTTGTTTTTGCTTTTGTTTTTTCAGATAGATTGTATTGTGTCTGACTGGTCTTGAACTCCTGGGTCCAAGAGATCTTTCTGCCTCAGACGCCAAGTAGCTGAGACTATAGTCAATCAAGATTGTTTATAAGTACAAAGGAAAATATAGGGAAGAACCAGAATTAATCTTTAAATCCCAGCTTTACTAGTGAACGGTCTATTTTTCTTTTTCTTTTTTTCGGTTTGTTGTTAAGATGCGGTCTTGCCAAGTTGCCCAGGCTAGTCTTGAACCCCTGAGCTCAAGCAATCCTCTTACCTCCGCCTCCCAAAGTGCTAGGATTACAGGTGTGAGCCGTCGCACCCAGGCTTATTTTTAATTATCTTAATAAATATTTAGCAAAGAGCCTGGTTTAAAGAGGACTCATTTCAAGACATCTGAATAGATGGGAAGCTAATAAAATATGGATTTTTATAAGCTGTTTGTCATCGAATTGGCAGTCAGGACACATAGGTTCCAGTCCTTGTTTAGCCTGTAACAAGAACTAGGCTTTCAGCAAGTCCCATCCAAGATTGATTCCTATACTGTAAATTGTAAGCTTAGGAGGATGTTATCCGCCAAACCAAGAGTGAAATGTATTTCCTTAAGTCTAAGGGAGGCTTTTTTTTTTGTGTTGGAGTCCCACTCTGTCACCCAGACTGGAGTACAGTGGCACGCTCCCGGCCACCGCAGCCTCGACCTGCTGGGCTCCGGCGATCCTTCCGTCTCAGCCTTCCAAGTAGCTGGAACTACAGGCACGCGCTACCACACCCGGCTAATTTTTTTGATTCATCATAGAGATGAGGTCTTGCCAAGTTGCCCAGGCGGGTCTTGAACCCGCGGGCTCAGGCAATTCATTCACCACAGCCTCCCAAAGCGTGGGATTACATGCTGAGCCACCAAGCCCGGCTAAGGGAGGCTTTTTAAAAGTTTTTTTTCCCCCATTACTACCTCCAAGGGCTTAATGTTTTTCTCTTTCTATTTTACCACACTAAGTAAGGAGTTGAAGCATTAACTCACTAAACAGTATACAATTAAGTGGCGTCTCTAGTGTAAACCTACCAAATAAATTAGTCAAGTACTTCAATATAGTATTTTATGCTCACAATTAAGATTTCTACCAGTTTTAAGAAGCAACTGTAGTTATATATACATATATAATATATACATATTGATTTTGACCCACTGTTCCTGGCTCCTAATTCCCACAGTCCTTTACGTCTTATACAATGTGTTAGGCCTAAGACGACACAATCTCTAACCTTCTCCTTCCCTCCTTTCCCCTGCCCTTTCACCTTTCACCTGCCCCAAGGCAGAACTCTCATCTTCCTTGGCCTTCCTGATTCCAGAGGGTCCCATCCCACACGTTGGGGTTAGGAATGCTGGCATAGCCGGGCTTGGTTGCTCAGCCTGTAATCCCGCGCTTTGGGAGGCTGAGGTGAGTGGATTGCCTGAGCCCGCGGGTTCGAGACCTGCCTGGGCAACTCGGCAAGCCCTCATCTCTATAAAAAATCAAAAAATTAGCTGGGCGTGGTAGCACGTGCCTGTAGTTCCAGCTACTTGGAAGGCTGAGGCAGAAGGATCGCCAGAGCCAAGCAGGTCGAGGCTGTGGTGGCCAGGAGCGGCCACTGCACTCCAGTCTAGGCAAGAGTGAGACTCTAACTCAAAAAAAAAAAAAAAAAATAGAATGCTGGCATAGCTGGGCAGGGTGGCTGACACCTATAATCCCAGCACTTTGGGAGGCAGAAGCAAGAGGATTACCTGAGCTCAGGATTTCAAGGTCAGCCTGAGCAACACGGCAAGACTTCGTCTCTTCAATAAATCAAAATATCAGCCGGGTATGGTGGCACATGCCTGTAGTTCCAACTAACTTGGAAGACTGAGGGGGAAGGATCACATGAGCCCAGCAGGTCAAGGCTATGGTAGCCATGAGTGAGACAACAAAAAAAAAAAAAAAAAAAAATTGCTGGCACCATGAAACATTCACAAAAGTCCAAGAGGACTGAGTTTGGGAAGTTCCTGGAGGGTGGTGCACCCAGGGAGGACATGGAAACTCTAGCCCTCTTCCTCCATACCTTGCCCTTTGCATCGTTTTTCATCTGTATCCTTTTTTTATACCCTTTATAATACACCTGTAAACATGGTTCCCTGAGCTCTGCTCCAGAAAGTTAACCAAACCCCAAAAGGGGTTCTGGGTAGTGTCAGAACTGAAGGGCACCCAGTTGACGAATTGTTAGTGGGGAAAAACCCACACATTTGATCACGCTTCCTCTACTCACAACACAGGAGGTAACAGTAACTATCCACCAGGTAATAGTGTCAGTATCCCACCCGGTGAGGGCTCAGTCCCCCAAGATTGACCTCACTTCAGACACCACTCACAATTCCGGATTTCCGGAACTTATGACTCACTGGCTTCAAGTTAGGGGTTCCCACAATCCCTTTTGACAAGACCCTTTATTGCTTAGCTGTTCTTGCATGCCAACCTACTTCCCAGACTAGGTCCTTATCCTAATAGTACACTTAGCATAACACCAATTTTTGTACCAGAAAAGGTTACCACCCTACTACAAACTTGAGAAAACACGGGCTCCCCACCTCATTCCTAATTTTGTTCTAAGTTGAGAATGTTTACTTAAGTTATAGAAAATTGTCAAAAGTTGAAAACTTCCTTAACATGTTTTTTCTATTAATAGTGTAAATGTAATGTCTAGTGTTCACTGGTATGGTAGCCTGCTAGCCTGTGTAAGGTTTAGACCAGAATAAGCATTCTTAACAAGTACCAAACTAGGTTAGCTCATTTGTCATTGCAATCTTTTTCCTTACAAAACTTAGTAAATTAAGAACAGGCTGTGTAAGAAACCACTGTAATTTGCTGCCTAACTCAGCAAAATTGGCTAAATGTCTTAGATCAGGGTTATTAAGTGCTTTCAAGCACTCTCAGCCCGTCTTTATGGTTCCATTTTACTAAGTTTAAATACTTTGGCAGAATACAGCAAAGACAATAAATGCACTCTCACAGTAGTCAACCAATAACTATACAACTTGAAATCATTCAAGTAGCCTCAACCGAAACCTAAGTCTGGCTATTTCTCTCTAGCAATCTTTGATTAATTTAGGTGCAGGCAGGTATGTTTGCTTTCCTTCAATGTATAGAAAGTGTTTCCATATCCAGTAATACAAAATTTAGACCTTCAAAATAGTTTGTCATTAAACCAGGATTCCAATTTATCAATGTCTTGGGAGGAAAAAAGCCTCTTACCCTTAAGTATATATTTTTAAGTCAGGTGACTTTAGTCACATTTTGGTCACATTACCCTTCTCACGTCTTCTTGACATCAGTTAAAAGTACATATATCACTAGATATCATGACAGACACCACGTATGCTACCATGCAACAAAACCTTTATTAACATTTTGAACAGGTTCAGCTATTACTGAAACTGGTAATTTCTAAACTTAAATTGGGACAAATGGCTATAGTGCAGAGTAATGCCATCATTGGGCACCACGAATACAAGACTGAAGAATTAATAGCCACCCCTCAGACGAAGAACCAGGTGCAGGGTCGACTCTTTCTGAATGTTGTAATCAGAAAGAGTGCGGCCATCTTCCAGCTGCTTGCCTGCAAAAATGAGCCTCTGCTGGTCAGGAGGGATGCCTTCTTTATCCTGGATCTTAGCCTTCACGTTTTCAATGGTATCACTAGGCTCAACTTCTAGGGTGATGGTCTTGCCGGTCAGGGTCTTCACAAAAATCTGCATACCACCTCTCAGACGCAGGACCAGGTGCAGGGTTGACTCTTTCTGGATGTTGTAATCAGAAAGAGTGCGGCCATCTTCCAGCTGCTTGCCTGCAAAGATGAGCCTCTGCTGGTCAGGAGGGATGCCTTCTTTATCCTGGATCTTGGCCTTCACATTCTCGATGGTATCACTGGGCTCAACCTCTAGGGTGATGGTCTTGCCGGTCAGGGTTTTCACGAAGATCTGCATTTTGACCTAGTTTAAAAATAAAACATTAGTGTAATTACCTCAGAATTTTTACATTTCTTACTTTTACATCTAACATACTTCAAAACCAACAGTTAACTCCTCTAAATGCCTTACAACACGATTAACATCTCACAAACCTCCGATTTTTACCAGACTTAAGTCAGTCCATAAAAAATTCGCTACTCAAGGTCTCTACTTCAATAGTTCAGTTATCTAAAATACGGTTACAGTTTAGGCAAACGGAAAAAAAACTGACATTCCTAGGAAAATGAACTGAATTCAAAAAACGCTTTCTAAACTAGCATCCAGAGCCTTCCCCAATTCGTATATTAAAGTTGTCCCCACCACGCACTAATTTTCCCGAAACCCGGACATGGCGGTGAGTTAAGCTGAAGACAAAACCTGACCCGCAAGAGCTGGAAAATAAAAATCACGGTTAAAACGGAAGAGGGGCACGTTTCCCACACTGCGAATCGAAATTGAAAGTATCCAGAAGCCACACAGACTACCTCTTTTCCACCTTCCCCCTCTGAAATAAACGCGGGATCTCCATCGGCGAAGCGGCGGTTAGTTCCCGTCCCCGCGCGCGCCAGCCGCCCCCGCTCCCCGCACGTACAAGGCCCACTCTTCCGGAAAGACTCGAACCGCGTCACCTCGTCTCCCCTCCCCCACCTTCGCCCCCGAGACCCACCCAACCCCAAAAAACCGCCAATACGACCCCACTCAAGTCCCCTTCTCCAATCCTCTCAGGTTCCGAAGACTGCAGGACACTACCTACTAGTGCGAAGATCCTGCGTGAGGGCAACAGATCCACAGCAACACGAACCCACAAAGCCAGTCGCCACTGAGTGCTCGGGCCCGGCGGAGCTGAAATTTATGCAACGTCTGTTGCGTCAACCATCACTGCTACGTAGCGGCGTCTCCGCGCGCCGCTGAAAGTAGTTCTCTTGGCCCAACCTTCCGCGACGCAGTTAGGCTCTTCAATTGAGCCCCAAATTCCTCACAACCGTAAAAAAGAATCCAACAAATTATAACCCTTCTCCTCGAGGCGCTCCTTCTCCTCCTTTAGGAAAATAGAGAAAAATTATCAGGCGGATGAATTCGAGTTGAAGGAAACTTCCTCGAAAGCTCTGGAAACTTCCTTGCAGCGCCAGCGCTGATTGGTGAGACGCGTGAGGGCGAGGCCGGCGCTGATTGGCGGGGGGCTCAGCGGCTCGGCTGTTGCTGGGCTCCGGCTGGAGTGGTTTAGTGCGGACGTTGCTAAGGAACCGAGTGCGCATGCGCCACAGAGGCGCGCCTTCCCGAGAGGGAGTTTTCCGGCCGGCGACAGACGTGGGGTGTTTCGCTCCCGCCCTCAAGCCCCGCTCCTTCAAATCTCGCGTTTTAGGTCCGTAGGCGAGAAAGCGGACTCGGCTGTGAGTTTCCCAGAAGCGAGGGCAGCTCGACACCCGATGTCGGGACACCTGGTGGTGACTGTGAAAGCACAAGCCCAACCCCAACCCCACCCTCTGTCTTTGGGCGCCCCTCATACACTGGCCGGTTTACATTTTTGTTTTTGGTTATCGCAGGGGTTGGCGCTTTCGTCAGGCGTGTGTAGTCAGAATGTTCTCGGTTGCTTTGTCTTAATCCTCAAAACGGCCCCGAGGACCGTCTCTAAATCTGGGCTTTAGAGCGAGACCCTCAGCGGGCAGCGGCCCCCGGTGCGGAGGCCCCTCGCCTCCAGGTCCGGAGAGACAAGGCTCGTGCTCAAGGTGACACGGTGGCCGCGCTTAGCACTGGCCCCGGCAATAGCAGCAAAGCCCTATCCCTCCTTGCTGTCTCTCCAAACTAGTAGAAAGAAAGAGCAATGCGGGTCAGGGAGCCGAAAATTCGCGTCAAGAAACGGGGCATTCACCTACAAGAAAATAATATTTCTCCCTTTGATGTGCTCGCTGTGCGGACGACACTGAGGTGGGACTGGCCAGCTAGGATCCGGCGACCGACTTGCCTGCACCCTGGGTGGGGCCCCTCCAGCAAGGAGCTAACCCAAGGAAGGTAAGGAGTGTTTGGATCATGGTGCCTCGCAGAGTCATAGGGGCGGGGATGTAAATAAACATGAACATGGCAGTTTTTTCATGTATTACCAACCTTCATAAAGTAGTCTGGAAATTTGCTTACTGATTCAGTTAGGTCACCGTCCCTTACAAAAAAAAGGTGACCAGTCGTTAAATTTTAGCACAGGAGACCATGACATTAAGAAACTGTCAGCCAGGCTCGGTGGCTCAGCCTGTAATCCCGAGCCTTGGGAGGCTGAGGTGAGTGGATTGCCTGAGCCCGCGGGTTCGAGACCCGCCTGGGCAACTTGGCGAGACCTCATCTCTACAATAAATCAAAAAAA